AATAAAATTCCAGCCGCCGAGTTTCAAGTAGAGCCTGATCAATGCTGAACTTCTGGGACAATGCTGAGCTTATGGAGCATGAAATGTGTAACATTGAGATGTTGTTATATACATACATACATATATGTGCTAGCATTATACTGACAAGGAAAATCAGGGCATCATCATGTGTTTTCCACAAACTTGGCAAATCATTGTTAAGACAAAGCTTGACTCCGCATCACCATCTGCTCAATTCAATTCAATTCAATTTTATTTGTATAGCGCATATTTACAACAACAAGTCATCTCATAGCGCTTAACAAAGGCAGAAACAGAAACACCCAACAATCCAAAACATCTGGATTCCCTATAAGCTTCAGCAGTCTGCAGCAGTGGGAAGGAACCGAAAACCCCCACAGGGGGAAAAAAAACCTCCGACAGAACCAGGCTCAGGGAGGGACGGCCATCTGCCTCCACCGGTTGGGTGAGAGTGGGATGAATTATACAATTTAGCTCAGTGGTGACACATGCTCTGCTACATGTGCTGCCGACAATGTAAACAGTAGCTGCTCTGAAGCAAAAACTATGTGGTGACACTGCTTCTAAATTCCCAGAAACTTTCATACCAGCGGTTTTTTTTGGCAACATACAAGCCGATGCCAACCTCTGACAGGGAAATACCAGCTGATAACATTGGTCAACTGATCAATCAGTCGGACTCCAGTTCTCTATTGACTCTCTATTATATATTTCATTTGTAGGGGAATGACTCCTCTGCTTGTCAGGATACATGGGTACTTCTTTAAGACACTTGACTGGACACACACCACAGGTTACCTATAAAGTTCCTGTGTTGTCATAATATTACTGACAGTTTGATCTCCACCTCAGTGACAACCTCTTTCCAAATGTTCTGTATGCAGGTGTGTGTACCTGTAGTGGTTCTGCGAGCAGCCTCCCTGGATCCTTGTTCAGATGTTGTCAGATTTATTCCTTTGTCTGTCCGGCTCCTGTGGCTGTAATCCCACATACCGGCGTCCTGCTCCCGGTTCGTGAGTTGACACGCTCGGTGGGATCCCTGCTGAGCGTCCACGTCCCGATCGGCTCAACAGCAGGTGAGAAGAGTTTCCTCCAGCATCCCTCCGGCTGAGGCGTATTGTTGCCCTCTCTCTCCTTAACATGTCCACACGATCTCGGCTCTGAGTCCCGCATCGCCTCCTTGGATTAGACAACTCACGCCACAAAGTTAACTTAACATGAAGTTAACATGAAGCTAACTGAGGACCCACGTTGTTGGTTGCAAACAAGGAAGTGAACACCTCCGCGCTGCTGTCAGGCCCCGCCCCCTTAAAGGGATAGCGCGTATTTTTGACTATGGCAGCCAGTAGGGACATGTGGGTTGTCCAGTTGTCCTGCTTTGGAGGATAACCATGATAGTGTTTTTCGTTCACCAACATGCACTATGATAAGGACAGAGCCCAGTTTTGTACAGACTGTTTTGTTAATGCCTTCATGTACCACACAAGCCCAGTTTTTCGGGTAAAGTGCGCAGGTTAGTTTTCTGCACTTTGTTGTGCAAAAACAAGAAAAAAGATGGAGGCCACAGAGGAAAAAAAAGGGGTGTGTTTATGGCCTTGGCTAGGTATCTAACCCCCCCCCCAATGCCAGCCATGATGCAAAGCATCGTCCTCCCCCTCCACAGCCGGTCCATAAATCTAAACTTAGGGCTTTGTCTACAGTCGTCTGTCCAGGCCACCGTGGTGCTTTCTTGGGGGACTTCCTACGCCTCAGCTGGTGGAGGGATTCAGCCAACTAAGAGCAAAGGGGAGTGCTCTAGGACCTGTGGTGTATTGCCAGTTGGTCTTCACAGATGCTTCCCCAGTAGGTTGAAGCATGGTGTGTGCTGTATGTCTGGTCAACTGGCTCTGGATTTGTAGTTTGGTGACACAGAGTGTAATCCTTGCTCTGTGGCAGTTCCTGCCAAGACTGTAAGGTCACCACATCATTGCCAGGAAAGACAGCACCATGACTGCAGCGTCTATCAATAGGCAGACTGACAACCACAATGTGGCAGATGCTTTACTTTTACTTCTGCTTACTCAGAGTCACACATGTGCCGAAAACTCTGAACACAACAGCACAAGTCATGTCAAGAGGGACTCCACACCCAGGGGAGTGGCGACTCTGTCCACAGGGGGTTAAGGAGACTTGATGTCACTTTGTTAGAGCAAAGGTTCAACCTTTTCAGTTCCAGAGAGTCTGCACATTGTCGACTCTTCTTTTCCCTCATGGGATGATGACCCACCTTTAGGGTGGGATGCCCTGGCACACACATGGCCCTTTAGTCTGCTTTGAGCCCTCTCTCCTTTAACGCTTCTCCAGCACCTTCTTCCGAGGATTCAGGCAGAATGAGTGAGGCTGGTTTTGCTGGCTTCTCTTTGGCCCCGCTTGTGACTGTCCCAGCGATTCACTTCTCTCGAATGGGATCACTTGGAAGCTTCAGTTTTGGAAAAGACCTGCTGTCTCAGGCTGACAGTACACTGTTTCATCCCTTCCTGGCTGGGCTCAATTTGGTGGCCTGGCCTCTAAGAGGAACAGGTCCCTGCCCATGGGCTTGTCGAGGCCTATGGTGAGAACTATGTAGCAGGCCCAGCCAACATCCACAAGAGCTTCCTACCTGTATGTTTAGAGGGGTATTTGCCACGCAGTCCCTATTCAGCAGCCCATGGACTCCTGCTGTTCGCACTGTCTTAGCTGGAGACAAGGTAATCTGCCACTACCCTGTGAGGTCTGGTGGCGACACAGAATAAGATCCCTGTCCCTCCATGGAGTTTGGACATAGTCCGTAATGTGCCTCATCATCACCCTCTTTTGACTCTTGTTGCTGATCTGAGATGGGTTTTCTTTAGAAATGCATTTCTGCTGGCCACAACCTCTGCCAGGCCAGTGGTGACTGCTGCAGGTTTCTGCCAGGGGAGGTCATGTGTAGTTCTTCGTCCTAACCTGGTGTTCTTCATCTAATTTCTACCTGTCCCAGTCGGTTGAGCTGCTGTCACTTGCCTCTTTCGGAGAAGACATGAAGGACCAGCACCAGTTTTAGCCCTGTCCAGGCTTGGTGGATCACATCCATTGCAGGCAGGTTGTCACGAAGACTGACCAGCTCTTCATCTGCTTTTCTCTCGTTGAAGTCTCGGCTGTCCTGCTGGATTGTGGACACCATTCACCACCAGTGTGTTTTCTCATGTGCGCCAGTCACATCCTGGGAGGGAGCCTCTCTCGCTGCCATGTGTGCAGCAACCACTTGGTCATCTCGGTTCACTTTTATCTCACATCCATTCCCTGAATATAGCAGCCAGTCCCTCCTTTGAAGTGGGTGCTGGATGTGACTCATCGGTGGATGTTGTCTCTCCTGGTCAGCTTTGCAGCTGCTAGTTGATCTGAATGGCCACTGTGTTCACAAGTTTGGCCGTTTCATCTTGGCCTTTACCAATGTTCCTGGGGTCAGTCTGGTCTAAGAAGCCCTTCTGCCTCTCAGGTGTGGTCTATGCATTGTGCAGGACCTCTGCCTGGTTGGTAAGTAAATTAGTGTGCATTTGCAAATAGTGTGTTTGTCATGTATCAGTGGTTTGGGCTGCATCGTGTCCTCACAGGGTGTCTTAAAGAGTTCCCCTGTACGTATGAAATATGTAACTGGGTGGAGAGATGGTCTATATATTGTAACCTTGGTTCTCTCCAGCTCTTCTGGCCACTCAGAGACATGTTTTGTTCAAAACTATCAGTGAAGTCACGCCAGAACAGGTGCTTTATAGGTGACCTGTGAGGTGTGACAGGGCAAGTCGGTGTGTCTTAAAGAAGTGTCCATGTACCCTGATGAGCAGGGGGGGCATTATTCCATAGGAAATATGTAACTGGGTGGGGAAATAGTGTCTTCACTCAGAGAACTGATAAAAACCAATCAATAGACAAAAATGTTTGGGTTCAAAGCTTGACCTTGAAACAGTTGTTAAGAAACAGTTTCCCTAGAAGATCCATTTTCTATCTGTTATAGAATAGAAAGAATAGAATAGAAAAATACTTTATTTATCCCAGTCTGGGAAATTACTGTGGTACAGCAGCAGCAAGAAAAAACAAAACAAACAAACAAAAAACACCAAAAAAACCCCAAAACAAAACACAGAAATACCAAAAATAGCAACGTCTTAGTGTGTTTCAATGAGCTCAAATATAATTATTTTACATATATTTGCCATTATTTTCACAGGTTTTTAAACTTTTTGACTGTTATGTTATTCCACAATTAAACTTATCTTTTCTGCCATCCTTGCTGAGAGATTTTCTTTCTTTCTTTTTTTTGACGGCTTAAAGTTAACCTTGGAACAGCTGTTAAGAAACCTTTTCACCACAAGATCAGTTTTCTAGCAGTTGTGGAGGATTTTATTATACCACATGACCTTCATTAGCAGCTATAGATGTTATAGTTTAGATTTTCTTTCATATCATAAGATGAAAAGCTTAAAAACAGCTACGACAGGGACCCTTTGGCGGCTGCAGAAATCTTTAAACCTTTTGATACTTGACTACAATTTAATGCAAAGTCCTTTTTTTAACTTTTGCTATGATACAAACGTCAGTGCATGCCTTTACCATGCAGCTCTTGCACTGACTGTTTTTTTTTTCACAGTGGTGTTTTGATCAGAGTCATTTTTCCAGAACAGACTGACTGACTGGCAGCGTCTCAGCAGAGGCATCACCTGAACATCACATGAACATAGCAGGAATGGTTCCCTGAATGCATCGTGCAACAACACTCGCTTTGCACGGATCGTATGCGCGGGACAGAGTGACGTGTGCAGACGTCACGTCTCCGTGGGTGAAATCTGAAGCTTCAGGTGGCGCACGTGGTCTGTTGTTTACTTCTTCCAGGAACGCTGGAAGTGCAGCTGGAAGGGAGGGGGCGGGGCGGCGGGGGGGTTGTGAAACAGCGTTCCTGGATAGAGTTACGTTGCTCAGCATTTGGGTCGGAAAAAATATATACGTAAGACCGACATTGACGCCGGGGGGGCAAAAAATGTCGAAGTGAATCTGCAGATTGTTCAGAGGCTCCTTTAAACAGCGCGAGACTTCAGCGGTACGTATGTTTTGTTTAGGCGCTTTGTTTTTGCTCTTTGTTCTCTTCGCAGGGGTCTCCAGGTCCAGGTCCAGGTCCAGGCGTCCACATAGCGTCAGCAGAGCCCGACAAGCTCAGTGTAAAGTATGACATTAACGCTAGACTGGTGGGAAAAGTGTTTATTGTGAGATTCTTTTGCTAAAAGCTGGATTCAGACGTTCAAAGTTGAGTTAGAACAAGATGTTTCATGTGTTTGTACATCATGTGGCACCATGTTGACAGTCCTGCTGGAGCTTGTGTAGCTGAAGTGAGACAAAACTGTTGTTTTCTGTACAGAACAAAACTAACCTATGCTTTAACTACATTGTTTTGCTGTATAGGCTGTCTCTTCATGAACTACCTACTCAGTTTTAATGCTAATTTGTTTTATTTCACCCTTTTTTTCCAGATTAAAACTATGCTTCAGCTTGGGAACCTGTTTACCCAGTTTCATCTCAGCTCCAGAGCTCCAGAAAATGCCCAAAGCCAGAGCTCAAAGCAGACACCAGCACTGCCTGACTTTTTACAACACGTCAGGTGAGTTTATAGTAAAGCTGCACTTAGTGGCGTCTTTACAATAACAGTGGGTCGTGTTTGAAGTGGGAGGATTCACCAGGAGGGATAAACCCAGTGTTGTAACTTAACTCTCCCTTTCTCCTCGTCTACACAAAGCATCTCAGCAACTGTCAGTTGATTGTGTTTTTGGTGAAGGCCTGCAACATTACTGCTGTGGCTCACATTGTGTTAAACCAGCTGCACAGGTTCATCAGCACCAAACAGACTGAACACGATGAACGTAGTTTAGCAGCTTAAGAGATGGTGGAGACTAAAGCTGAGCCAACAGGATAGTGACTGTTGGAGCTGGCATGGGTGTTTACATCTTGTTCCACGTCACCCAAGTGGCTAAAAAAACACAAATGGTGCAACTTAAACTGAAACAAATATTCAAATTTCATCTTTTTGTTTGTATTTTCCACTGCAGGAATCTCACCGGGCTCAGAAAGGAAGACGTTTACTGCAACCTGCGTGTCCCTGACCAGTTTCAGACAACCAAAGGCGACATCAACTTTGTCATTCTCACAGGTTGGTATCTCCAGTGAAATGATACGCCGAAATAACACTAATACTGTGATGTGAGATTCAGTATTACTTCCTCCAGGCCAAACACTGACCTTGTGCAAGAAGTATTGAAGTGTGCCAGTAATTGAAGGTGTTGTGACAGTGACAGCGGTAGCATGGATCAATAAAGTTCTATCTAATCTGATCTCGTTCTATCTAATGTTCAACACCAGGATGATCAAAATGAGGCAGCTAAAAGGAAATCAGTCATCATTAACTTCACCAGTACTCCCACCAGATTACATATGTTTCCTCATGTTTTCAGATATTTATTTCCCACAATATCACAATGTTCATTCCAGAAAATTAGCCCAACATACTGGATACTATGCTGTAAAATAACATTGCTTATTACAAGGTTTTATCCATATTGTCTGCTGTGTTTTTGGTTATTTAAAATGGGAATGTTTCTTCTCTTTGCTAAGGCCAAGGGATCTTCTGCATAGATGTCAAACCCTGGAGAGGTGCCGTGTCCGCTCACAACCAAAACTGGCATGTGCAGGTGAAAGAAGAGGACCAAAACTTTACCAATACCTGCATCGAGCAGATTGAAGATCCCCTCAGAGCGATCATGGTAAAAAAAAAAAAAACGACACATTCAGCTGAAACGCTGCAGTAGCCTCATAAAAAAAAACAACGAAATGTCAAACTGTCTGGCACACTTAAGTCCAAGGTCCAACCAATTGTCTGATACACTGTTTTCATCCAAACTGTAGCCGGGTTAAGAGATTCTGAGTCAGCATAACAATTTATATGGAAATTTCAAACACTACAGCTCGGGCTCCCTAAACTTCCTGAGTGGGCACTCTTCATCTGAAAGGCCGTAATTATTTTCAGGGGTTGAGGGGGGCGGGGAGGGGCGAAAGCAGGCAGGTGCCTAAACACAGCTGTCACCTTATGTGCCCGGGTCTGTTTGGAGTCGTTCATTTCCATTTCTATAGATGCTCGATTCGGACTGGAAGCTTGACACAAGAGTCCGACGGCAAACACGCTCCGTTTTATTGAAATAGTTCTGCTCAAATTGGATCTATTAACTTTATTAATCCACACAAAGCAAACGCGGCTCGACTGTTTGCGCCAACGTGAGGTTACGTAATTTATTTAAATGGCTCCTCTTAGAAATTCAAAAGAGGACATTTGCATATTGTGTCTTTTAGGTCGTCGTGTAGCAGCGGTGTTGAGACATCCTGTGAACGTGAGCACATGCTGAACATTTTCACTCTCAGGCTTCATTCAGCAGCGAGGAGGTTAATTGATTGGCCTGTCAGCATATGAGAAAACTAATAGATAACAGTTTTAATAATTGATTACCTGTTCTTGGGCTGCAAGGTGGCTCGGTGGTTAGCACCGTCGCCTCACAGCTAGAAGGTGAGCACACCGGGGATCTTTCTGCGTGGAGTCTCCATGTTCTCCCCGTGCAGCGTGGGTTCTCTCCGGGTTCTCCGGCTTCCTCCCACAGTCCAGAAACACGATGAGGTTAATTGGTGATTGTAAATTGTCCGTAGGTGTGAATGTGAGTGTGCTTGGTTGTCTGTCTCTATCACTGTCTATCACAGTGTAGCCCTGTGATAGACTGGTTACCTGTCCAGGTGAACCTGCCTTCACCCTGAGTCAGCTGGGATAGACTCCAGCCCTGGTGAGGATTAAGGTGTAGAGATGATGGATGGATGTTCTTCAGTTGGTTGGGTCATTGTTAAGACTTCACCATGGACTCTAAGTACTGACCAGAATAAAAGTGCGTTTTTATCAATATCTTTTAATTTACCAGATGAATCTAAATGTCTCAAATATAAATTGTTTTCTAGAAGCAGGGAGAGCTTTGCTAAAGGAATATTGTCTATAATCCCTCAAATTATTTTAAATAATTAGCAAAACAAAAGTAAACTTCACAAATCTGACTAGACAATCTGTACCAGCTTTCAGTTCTTTGAATGTTGGTGCTACAAACATAAAACATAGACACACATAAAACCATACATCAACAAATAAGTGAAAATTCTCATTGCCTCTCGTGTTTATTGTCTCTTCCAGACCAAGACGGCGAACTTGTGCAGCCATCTGAACAGGAGCGGAGTGTCTGTGCGCCAGAGTCTCTTCTTCCCCAGGGTCATGTTCCTCTCTCCGGACTGTGAGCTGGACGAAGGGCTGAGGAAGAAGAGGGAGCTGGTCTCCCACAGCCAGATAGATGATTTCCTCCGATCTTTCAAGGAGGGCTACGTGGCCTGGATATCAGACGCCCTGACTCCATCCTGGATCTCCGGTGAGTGGGACTCTGGTTAAGGGATTCAATCCATGTTCAGCCCCCTAACCGACCAATGTCACTGTATGTTAAAATAAACCTGTTTCCAAAATGAATCCAGTAAACACATCTTATGGACTGAACTTTATACCGAACTCGTGTTCAGATTTAAAAGGTGTCTTTAAAAAAAAAATCACCATAAATACAACATTTGTCAAAACCAGAAACCGTAAAAGCAGAAAAAAGTGTCAGATTTTTAACTTTTAGGTGGTCCTTGAACTAGGCAGGTCTGACAGGACTTCACTCAGGAAAGCTCAGTTAAATCCAAGCTTAAATAAACTCTTTGCACAAACTCGATATTGTGCCATTAGCTACTTAACTGCAACCAAAAGTCCTTTTGAAGAAGTTCAGGGACTTTTGGGCTGAACTGCAGACTGTGTAGTAGCTTGTGGGTAAATTATGCAAGCAAAGTAAAAATGCAGTTTGTAAAATATCTATAACATGGAGGGTCACTGGTGCTTCTTGTATTGGTAACATCTGTGAGCACTTGAAAAACATTGTACATGCTGATACCTGATGTTTTCCTTTTATGCAACCCCCCTTATTTTTTCTAATTTCTAGCATTATAGCTGTATCATACATGCACAGAAGACATTTTTGAGTTCATACTATACTTATGCTGTTTCCGATGAGCCCACAGTGCGTAAAAATGAAAACGCTCAGAAAGTTGTTGGAGTTCAGAGGGTTAAAGGACAGGTTGTTTTTTTAACAGCGTAATGAATTCCAGTATAACCTGTGATTGAATTGCCTTTGATAGGAATACCACCGGTTAAGCTTGTTTGTCCTGCAGGTCATCTGTCGTACAGGCAGATGGAGTCAGTGCGGGAGGTCCTGCGGCGGGTGGGAACCTGGGATTTGGTTCGGCTGCACTGTGGCGAGCAGCTGAAAGGAGACTACCAGGGCTGCCAGTACATCGCTTTGAACCGCCAGGACACGGACACGCTTGAGTTTTCCCGAGTCAAGACCCTGTCTGCTGATTCACTGTGGGCCCTGCTGGGACACGCTCCTCAGGTCAGTCCGCTGCCTCGGCTCCGCTGGGCCCACCGGGACCAGAAGTGCTGTCAACGTCTGCAGGGTTAAATGCTGTGTCACTGGCCCCAGATAATAATGTGAAATAGAAAAGCCAACACCAGCCAGCAGGTGGCAGTAGTACTTTATGACTGTCTCGCTCGGTTTTCAGTTATCCTCCTCGTGTTCTGGTAAAAACGCAGGTTTGATTTGTGCTAAAGATCACAGAACATGACATCAATTATTTAGTTATTTTAATACAATTAGAGCCTTTTTTTTATTTAAAAATCAAACAAAATGACTGCAGACATCATATTAGGTTGTTGCAGCACAGCTTGGCCAGGAGCCATCCAGTTGAAGAAAATGTCAGGTTTTATAGTAACCCCACCACATAGTGCAATGTTTTTATTATTATTATCAAATATGCTAATTAAATAATTCTGTAAAGGAAAGCAATTAGATTTATAGTGATCAGGGGTTTTTTTCAGTACAGAAAGTGGCTCTTGTTTTTCTGTTACCTTCACTCTAATGTGCTCTCTCACATCATTTCCATTAACACACCGTGTGTTAATTATTACCTTAATTCCTCAGTTTTTTATTGAGGTAATTAGGAAATTCATTCCGTCTGCCTCCGAGGTGCTCACTAGTTAACTTGATTAATCCAAAAATCAAGACAGTTGCACAGTCTAAAAAGCAGAATTCAGATTTTCAGGTAGGTTGGGGTTTTGGATCACTGTTGTTTGTTTCATTGTGAGATAGTGAATCGATTAGAGTCACTTAAATGTTGTCTGTTTAGTTGGCATGACAGCAAACAGTCACCGTGGCAATGAATGGCAGTGCTGTTTGTGTAGAAGCTGCTTTCTAGTAATTATAATAGTTGTTTTGTGACATATTCACCCAAAAAGCATTCATAAAGATTTAATTATTCCTGCTTGCCGACGGTGCCTCAGCGCTGGTTTTTTAGTTAATTTGCTAAATGAAGTAAATGTTGCCTCTTAAAGACCAGCGAGTGGGACCCCAGCTCAGCATCCATTACACACCCACCCTCCGCACCCAAACACTCAGCCTGGGCTTTCCGCACAAGTCCGCTCAGGCTTTAGTCTGCCCACCCCCCAACACCCAGACTGTATGCACTCTCCCCTCTCGCCTCCAGCTGCTGTGTATTTGATACATGACCCAACAGTCATTAGACTGTCTCCAGCGGGCCCTTTTCTAGCCCAAGGGGACACACACCGCGACAACAAAATATATTATTTTCAAAGAAATATTTGTAAATGGAGGCACTGCGAGGCAAACGTCCTCCCCATATTTCACACACACACACAAAAAAAAAAATGGTGCTTGGAGGATATATGGTACTTGTGCCCTGTGCATGCTCTCTAGCATACAGTTTATAATTATTTCTATGCACTAACCAACAGGGTTTGTGCAGTAAACCACTGGAAGATGTTGCTCCTTTGGACTCAATGACTGGGTCACCTACTGTGTCTTTGGAAAAAAAAAAAAAAAAAAAGCTCTTTGCTCGTGTACAGCAGCTGCAAGGGGAAGCTTGGGGGGTGGCAAAGAAACCTGATAGCTCCCCAAGGCATATTTTCAGGCCCCAGAAATAATGCATGCATTTGATTTGTTACTTGTAAACACGCAGGCTAAAAGATCTGCGATATGACCTACGGTTTCACTCGGGCATCTGTTTGCTTGTAAGAAGTGGCACCAGATGCATTTATAAAGCCACCGTGGAGGCACTAGGTGTGTTTTCTGTGAGCTCAGGCAATTACTCTGTGGAGAATGGGATGTCTACATGCCCCAAAGTGGAGAATGATTGAGTAGAGTGGCTGTAATTTATTAATTATGGTCTATATTCTTAGACCACGGTTCTGGCTTCATTCAATTTGTATGGATTGAGGGGTAATTACAGTGTGTGTGTGTGTGTGTGTCTGTGTGTGTTAAGGAGGGAGAGAGAAAGAGCTGAAGATCTATTCATGTCATAATTTAAAGTGCAGGTTACTTATGTTGTTCATCTTCACGTCGTCCCCTGTTCTGATGCTTGACTGTTTGATGAAGCCTTTGTGCCGGTTTATATAATCCAGCGTATTCAAGTAGGAGCCCCTGAATTTCAGAAAGTTTCTAACTGGCTGTCAGCGAGGTAGAAACAGAGCGTCTACTCTGTGCCGACTAATTGCATAGCTGAGAAGCAACAATTAAGTTCCTTCGACCGTAACTTGACTACACAGCGCTGTCAGCTGATTAATAGAAGCAAAGCCACCAGGCGAAAAGCTGCAAATTCACAGACAACATCTCAGCGAAGAGAGAATGGTGCAAATAATCAGATCTCGGTTGCCGGAGATACATCTTGTCTCTCTGACAGGCTACAGATTCCACACAAATGTAGCTTGTTAATTTAACTCCACCCTGACATTCCTCTCCGTTTGGCCATCTCCCAGGCTGCACGCGTCACAGGCCTGTAATGGACAGCCTGGTGCGCTTGGTGCTTAGCACAGAAAAGGCAGAGAGGGGAGACATCAACTGCTTTGTGGTGATAATGAATGGAGGCACACAAAAGGCCAGGAGCAGGCCATTTACAAAGCCTGCAAATTCTGCTGCCTAAATAGATAATATTGGCAGCCACTGTGGCTTTTTGGTCTCTTTTTATGTGGAGATAAAACAGCATTAAGCCATTTGAGGTAAATACATGCAGCACCCATTACTGTTAATTATAAAGCATTTATAATGGTCATTAGCAAATGTGGCCTTATGCTATATGTTCTGGATAACAAAGACATCCACCTGAATGTGGCTGCTTCTTTAATTGTGTCTGTGCACTTGTGGATGGAGGATTATTGACTTGCCTCTATTTTCAGTCGCCAGATGCAAAATGAAGAAAGTATCCTTAAGTGTGTTTCTCTCAAAGTGCAATTTGTTGGATGATGTCAGATCGTCACTCCCACAGACTTCCCCGTCCACGGCGGCCAAACCCGGTGGAAGGATGTGGATTTCTGTGCTAAAGAAAAGTTTCAAAGAAAAGTTTTCTAATGGATTTCCTGGCAAGACAGATCTATTAGTTGCACAGCATTGTTCAACAAAATTGGAAATTGTGTGGAAACTACCAGAATGTTCAGATTTCTGTAATTGCAGGATCGCTCTCGAAAGGAAACTGGAATTGGGAATAATTTGCACCAGAGTGTGTGTAGGAAGCCGCAGAGGAAAACTAGCCATGCAATTACACATGAGAAGAGTGCTGCAGCCGCATCACAAGTGTCTGTAATGAACTAGTGAAGACACCAGCACTTATACAGTGGAAGGCAATGATAAAAGCAGCCTTGTAATAGCGCGTGATTAAACTTGGTAAAATCTATTTTTTCACTCGAGCACTAAGCCAGCGGTGAAGAGTCCCGTGGAGAGATTCTGCATCTGTCAATTTGAAGATGACTCAATGTGTTTCCTCCAAATTCATCACCCAGCATGCAGTGCCAGTCGTAGTAGAGGGCTCTTCAGGCGCTCTTTTGTTAATTTAGTTAAACATCAACCGCTAGAGTTCATGTTTTACACATTTCTACTTAACACGGGTGGAGTTTGAGCTTCAGTAAATTTGAATACATGTTTAAAATAAAGGACATTAATATTCATTGGAAAATAATTTCTTTGGATGTGGAACGAGCCGGGGTTTTGCAAGACGCCGCAGCTAGCGTGATCAAAAATTAAATGTATGTATTTTGTTGGATTGTAAATACAAATAGAACAACAGCTTCAGTGTTTGGGCTGCTCAGCATTAATATATCTCATGAGGACAACAAAAACAATCGCATGTAAAATAAAATCAAACTGATGTCAGACTGTTAAAATGTTTTGTTGGGAAAAACGTGACAGAATTTTTTAAAAAGCGAGATGTGTGTGGAGCTGAAATGAACAGTTGAGTCACAGAAACGCGACGTGCAACCCTTTTCATAGTTGTTTGAAGCAAAAATGCAAAATTCTGGTTCTGAATTCTCATGAGAAATGGATGCTTTCTTTGTTGATTGTAAACTGTCTGGGTTTTGAAGAATTCAATGACCTTTGTTTGGGTTCTAGGAAACTCTGTTAGTACTATTACTATGTTGTGATGTTTTATAGACAAAACAACTGAATTAGAATAAAAAAATCTCTAGATTAATCTAAATAATCTTTAGTTACAACTCCAATGATGTGGTCCTATAACCACGATGCAGCACCACAGACCTGTAACATGTTTAATAAGCCTGTATCGACACTATTAAGGGTTTTTTTTCCCAATTAAATGCATTAAATGCTGGTTTTAGTATCTAACGGAAACTTTTCTTTGGTCAGTGGCCAAGATGTTAATTTTATCTCCGTGAGCTCGGTTACTTGTTTTGTGGATTCAGGATATTACAGTGATCCCCCCACAGTATAGCTTCTAAGATATGATCAATAGGGATTCATGAATAATGAAGAGGCTGAGTGGAGCAGAGGCACTTAATTACAGCTTCAAAAGCCATTCTCGTTAATTGAGGAGAATAAAGGTGGTGAAGTGGACTGAACGGCCACATTAGAATTTTCTATGACTTTCTTTTTCTTTTTTTTTTTTTATTATTATTACACAGAAAGACCCTAACTGACAGCTTGAAAAACCAGTAGCTGTCAATGCTTTTTTCCCCCCAAATCAACCATGCATTAAATATCATCGTTTATTCTGCGTCTCTCTCTGACCACCTGTGAGCAGACTATCGTTCTTTTAATGTAAAGGTTAATGTGCTGCATATCCAGACAGCGTGTGCAGCAGATACAGTATGTAATTGACAGCCCTGCCATCTGTTACGGTTATGCGAAATTATGGATAAACTAGTTAACAGACACTTTGGCCCATTGTCTGTTGTTTTGATAATCACCCTTAATAACGGACGGCATCAATATGGTCTTTAAACCTGATTTGGGAGTTAATGGAGTCAGATGGGGGCAGTCAGTGTATGCTCTGGGGGTAATGCTGTTAGAGATGTTCGTAAAGAGCAAATTAAATCAGTCATAGATTGTGCCCTCTCAAGTCAGCCAGACGACCAGACCCATTGAGCAGAAAAAAGGAGGAGATTCATATTTTAACCTCTCGCAGAAAATGCACTTATGCGGATGGAAATAAAGTCAGAGCTGGGTGACTGGATGTAAATGGTTATTGCCGAGAGTCTAATGGCTTCCTGTTAGCTGAGGCAGGTTGTTTGGAAGCAGAGACGCAGATATTTCAGAATTTAACCAGCCTTTTTTTTTTTCAGATGGTTATTGACGTAAACCGTAATGTCACCAAGCCAAAGTTTAGGCATCTTAATGGATGGCCCACATCTGGAGCGCACGAGAGTTCAGTTATGAGTATTTGATGCACTAAGTATCGCAGAGATGCAGGTTTTGGAGTGATGCCATTTTGGTGATGATTCAACGCAGTAACATGCACGAGAGGGGCAGAATATTAGGGACACTTTACGATGTAATGCAGCACAATGTACCACTACTATCTAATAGGACGTCGGTAATAAACATAAAGGAGAGTTATCACATAAAAACTGGAATTGTAGAAGCTTCATAAAAGACGGTTGCTGCATTGGATGTACCCAATAAAGTGGCTCATAAGTGTATTTGATTACATATTAGGCTTTTAGAAAGAAAGAAAATGCTTATTGGTTCAAATATAAGAAGCTTTTCTCAAACTTACATGAGCTGAGATGTTGGTTTTGAACTCTTAGCCAGACAAAACATGCAAGAAATCAACTTGAGCTCATCTGTGCCAATATTTTATAACCTAAAAAATTGATTCTGTAATTGAAGAAATACTCTGATAGTAAAAAAAAGGTAAAGAGACTCATTCTTTGCACCGAAGCCTTAGTGAGAAATTCAGAAAATTCAATGCATCAACCTGCTAATAAAATACCTGAATCAAAAATAAATGAAAAACCTGAAGCCACACTGAATCAGCGCTGGCAGGTTCCCTCATTTGTTACTGCTGCCACTGCCAGAACATATCATGTAAATACTATCAGTGCTGATATCGCTGCTGCTCCCTGTACTTAATCTTCACATCAGTTATTGTCAGTGGATAAAGGTTTGCGGTGGCGGGCGTCGCTGTGATGCTTCTTCAACTTAATGTTTGTTGCTTGTTACAGGAAAAAAATAATCACAAGTTTTACATGTATTCAAGGAAAACACACTTTTCTCTCATTACTATTGAATCAAATTTTTCTTAACTCAAATCAATGAAAAAGAGTCTTGAGTTGACTGAAGCCACTGATGATCCAGTGATTCACACCCCCCACTTAGCGGATTATTAATCCATCCAACCGACGAGCCAAACCACACGGTGTTTACCTGATTGCCTGGCAAACCATTTCTGGTCCGGCTCCATGACATTTGGCTCGTCGACAAAGATGTTTGGTGCGCCAGAGGTGTGTTACTCAGTGTTCCTCCCCATCTGTGTCTGGTGAGACACGGCGTGGAACAAAGAGCCCGTCGTCTGAAGCCGGTGTGGCGTTACGCTCACTCAGAGTTCACCTGAAACACTGCACCCATGGCTCCAGGTAACAGCCCCTGCTGACTGATACCCCGCTGGGATTCTTTGACTTTATCAGAGGAAGAATCTGAACTTTGTGAATGGCAATACACGCAGGTGGTGACACGTCCATACCCAATTACACAGTTCCTCACATTGTTCACCTTCGTCAGACCCGTCGGACCCCGATGGCAAATAATTACCTTCATACAGAAACAATTAGTTGTAAAGCCTGAATGCAAAATCCACGATGCATGCTGTGTTTTATGTTCTAATGAGAAGACTTAATGTGGGCTTTGTTGCTTGTCAGTACACCAGGCTGGCTCCGAATTGGTGCCATATGCATCCCTACAGGTAGAAGATAAGGAAGCCGGTGCAGATCGCTATCACCATTTGTAAGGAGATGTTCCTTTTTTTCGACGGAGAATGAGCTGTCGTCTTGAGTTAAGAGGGCAAAAGGTGAAGAGTGAACCAGAGGCAGGATTTATGACTATTAGCAGACGGTAAATAAGGAGAAGGAGTTTATCTCGTTGAAATGTGAGGAGTGATGTCATTCACAGGGCTCCCGCGACACTGAAAGCGAGAGGCAGATCAGGGTAAACACCGTTAGGTGAGCTCTCAGCCCTTTGTGTGACACCCAGCCTTCGCCCCAAGGGTCTTCTCCTCGCCGCGAAGCGTCAGACACGCACACACACAAACATTCAGGCTTGTCGGTGCTTGAAGGAGTCGCGCTTCTCGTGCACTTGCAGACAATTCGCAGCTAAAAGTGAGATATTATTTTAGTTATTACTGATCTGTTTGGTTTCTTGAGCATTGCGCAGATGTGACGTGCTGCATTTCATCTCAGGTGTCAGGTGGAAATTGCTCTCTGACATTTTTTTATGTCAGCACCTAGTTTACACTTTGGTTTTGTGCTACTGTAAGTTAGCTACAGTATCGTCTTTACCCTCAAACACTTGCCTCAAGTGGCTCAGAGGGTAACAGTAGTGACAGTTCCTGTAGCTGACACACCATCTCCGCTGAACAACACCTGGCAGGCAGCTCGTCTAGACCACACACAACTCCCCTCTTTGAGTTTATGCCAGAGACGGCGGCATTTCTCCTTCCTGGATGACACAAAAAAAGCTTATCTGCTTGATGAATGTTGTGTTGGGTGATCGTGCAGAACAGACTGGTGGCTGTAAATTTTTAAAAAAAAATCTCATTTCATCTCAAAACTTCCTCAGACAAGATGTAGGTCATTTAAGTATAAATCGTTCCTGTCACTAACGTTATTAAAATACCGTTTTGTGCATCGTGCAGCCTTGAGTGTTTCACAGCTTCTCGTGCTGGAAAAAGGTGATTTTCCTGCTTGTGTTTAAATCCGATGCAGAACCAGTGTTGTGTTTGTGCCTCTGCAGCATCACAAAGATGGAAGTACTCAACTCCAGTTCCGTTAAATTAGTTAATTGCTGATTACCAACTATTACACTTGGCTATGATTTGTTAGAATAATTCCTCTCTGATGTCTTTGTCTCGGTTTATACGCTTCTCTGCCACCAGCTGTCATGAAGCTATTTTTTCATGCAACCCAAATTAATAGACACTCACTGGCTCTGAAGTGTCTGATGCTATTGTAACACAAGCCATGTGGCATCCGGCCAAGGCTGCAATATAAGACACAATTGTTTAGTGTTTTTTTTTTTTTTTTTTTTTTTTTTTTTTTTTTTTTTTCTCTCCTGTCTTTCACCCTGTTTTAATGCACAGTAATAAGTAAGTAAATGGTAGAAAGATGTGTGTCTGAATTCGCAGTGGCCTTTGTTGTAGATAATTAGGTTAGCAGCAAGAGTGTGCAGGTGTTGAGGGTGTGCTGTGTGCTCGTGTTGTGTTATCGACTTGCTCATATTCGTAGGCTGTCAGGGGTGTCGCACTTCCCATCAGCCCCAAAGCTCACCAACCTCTTCACTATTAAAATGATCACTTTCAATAGCAGACAAAGGAAAGAGGGAACATATCTAGTGCAGGGTATTTTCCCCACCTCTAATGCTTATCTGCCTTTTGATGTCGGCGTAATAAAAGGCCTATTGGGCTTCCACAATGACCTGCAAAATGGACAAGGGCCGATATACTGGGCTCTGACTGTCGCTACCATTAACTAAAAGGCCCAGACATTATGGAGAGCCGGGGATGAAAGTACATGGAAAAAAAAAATAATAATTGAAAAATTGCCTAATGCTAAAGTGAAAGAAAATGGAACTGTGAAAAGGCACTGTAATATTCTGTTATCCCCTGTAAATGCAGCCAAACAAGAGATGCAGCGAGGCATTCTTTTTGAAATGGATGTGGTTCAATTACCCGCATGTCTAAATCTAGTTAAGGCTTCCATTGTCAGGCTCGAAACATAACAGGCAGTTTTGATGTAGTGTTAAAGCGTATTATGCCCTACAACCTACATAAAATCAAGAGAGGTATGACTCCATTCAAGATGTGGAGGGGAATTAAAGCTCGCAGCCAGGACGAGGTTAATTTAATATTTATTCTGTTTCGGGCTTCACTGTTCTAACGCTGCCATGTTTTAGCACGCTAAAGGAAAATTCTGTTAATTTTTTTTTTTTTGAAGGTCATTTCATTGAACGCCTAAATCGGTGCGTTCTAAGGGTGAATCACTGGCTTCTTATATAAAGAGAACTGATTTGTTTTACTGCATCGTTTAAAGAGAAAACTGGAGCTACGTTCAAACTGACTGGAACATGTAAATAAATAATCACATTAGCAGCTAGTTGGCTAATTCAGATCTGTAGTTTTTTTGGGATAAAATTGGCCTCAAGATGGATGGAGATGGTATTGTTCTCATTATATTCAATCCTTTATTCAGCAAACCTGAATCATTTAGTTGTTCTTCGGTCTGCAGGCCAACCGGCTTAGCAGCAGCTTGAACATCTTGAGGTCAAAGGTGAAAGTCATGAGTGTCTCCTTAGTCCTAACCGGAGGTCAGGAGGTTGCAGACGGGGTCGTGACCCCAGGAAATGGCCGAAGGATATCCATGAAAGGCGCCTTGTTTGGAGCCACTTGAAGACAGGAGCGCATCTAAAGATACTCTCACTTTCTAATTATCTGTGTTTAATCCTTATTTTTCTCTTCCCGTCTCTGCAGGTAACAGTCAGAATGTACAAGCGTGGCTGCCACAGCTGGCTGGGTAAATCCCTCAACGCCACCACCACCATCCCCTCCAACACCTTTGTGATCTTCAGGATCAGCGGTGAGGAGGCAGATGCCAAAATCCCAGCCAACACCATCCACAGCATCACGCTCAGCATCTGACGGCGTGTACGAGACGCTGCAGCCCGGCACTGATGGAGAGGAGGCAAAACAAACCAACTCATATCTTAGCTCCTGTGTTTACTGAGTGGTTTATACGATGCAGTAATATTGTCTTAACAAAACAAATTCCAAAAGCCTTTATGTAAAAAAAAAAAAATAGAAAGAAAGCAAAGACCCATTAGCCAATTATCCTGATTCTCTGATCATCAGTGACAATATTATGTTAATGAAAATGATTTCAGACAATTAGCCTGATTAACTTTCTCTTGTTTAGAGTTTCTAGGGCTGGCCCACACTTTACACCAGCCATTAATTAATCATCAGCTGATTGTGTCACGTCAGTTCAGGACTGAAGTGTTTAATGTGTTAATTGTGGCGGTTAAAACCCGGTGGCCTGTGGCGCGGCGGGGGCCGAGTGTTTCGCTGCCGCCGCGGCTTTAATGGGAAGTTATTTACGGTCTGTTTAGACGGTGTAACCGTAAGGTGCTTTATTAATATGCTCCACCGCGCACAGGAGACGATAACATATTCAAGAGCGCGCAGACGCAGCCACCAGCTCCATTCATAACTGTGTCTGAGTCACTTTCCATCAGTTACCAGGCTCGCACAGCTGCGCTAACAGCTAGCAATCGTATTTACTGGGCCTGGTAGTGGCCAAAATGAAGTTATTTCCATCAAGATATCAGTGCCTTTAGCTAATGCAATAGAAGGAGCTCTCTGTCGATGGTATCGCTCTGCATGGCATCTCTACCTGAAACATCATTACACTGTACTCAAGCTCCTCACTTTTTTTAAATGTCTGTTTGACCTGAGGGACAGATGATCCGCGCTCGTTTTATAAACCGGTTGTTTTTGGAGTTCTCAGTCGTCAGTGCTTGAATTTCTACGTGTTTTGATGAATGTGTTGTTTTTGCATTTTTAACCTCCGCTGGTCCTCAGGAACTCTTCTCTACACGGCACTTGACAAACAAAATCGACAGCATCGGGTCGTCTGGTTCGGGAATAATCCCATAAATGGTGGGTTCATGCAAGGTTTACTGTAATTTTATTATTATTCTTTGATATGCATAAAATTCGAAGCACTTTCAAGCATCAAGCCAACTTAAGAAGCGTGATTGTTACCTATACTCCTCCGTTGTTAGTTTAGGTGCATTTTTTATGTTTGTACTATCTGGTGTTATAATAAAAAAACATTTATTTAATGCTTCACGTCATCATTTTTTGGACTGAGGTGGCCTCTGCAAACTTCTCTCACATACACAGCACCGGACTGCTTCCCTAAAGCTATCGTGCTCTCGTCGTCGTATCGAAGCGGACCTCATAACAGCGAAACCTCATATACGAAGTCATTTGTCACTACTGGGCCACAAGGTTTCTTCAAAGCCTTATTAGGGAGATGGAGGGCATCCATCAACAGCTCACTCTGCTCTTTGGAAGCATGCAGCACGTCTCCAGCGCGGTAAAAGACTGGAGATTAGGAATGGATGACTGGCCACGGGGACAAAGAAAACTCTGTTGGGCAGCGTGGTGGCGACTGGGAGGGGAAGCTGAGCGGAAATGGACATGGAGATCAGACCAGAACATAGTGTGACAAGGTAACAAGGTAAACTGATCCAGACTGTAATTCCTCTGGAAACTGAATCAATGAGGGTTCTGTTAAAATGAAAACCCTCCCGGATATTGAGTTCAGATGAATCTATGGCAGAATAGAATCAGCCGCAATTATGCGGTTGTTTTCTTCGCAGTACGCCGTGTAACCTACAGACGCATGTTTCTGACCGCGTCGTGTCGTCGAACCAGCGAAAGGAAAAAAAAAAGTCCGATACCCTGTAACCCTGAAACAACACCAGGTGTCCAACTTTGACCTCCAGGCCCCCAGGGTTGCCAGGTCAGCTGACTTATTTAACCTTTTTTCTATGTACAAGACATGGACGCAGCAGCCTGGACACCAAGGACAGATCCCTCTCCTTTGTCAACTAAGAAACCACCGTCTCACCCACAGCCTGAGCCATGCTCGCCTGTTTTTCCTCTCCCAAAAAAAAAAAGAAAAGCTTGCTGCACTTCCTCACACCAGCAGAATTAAACGAAACGGATTCAACAAACAGTTTGACTCCATTATGCGAACGCCCCATCTTCTGTGATTTCGCCGCTTCAGCTCGACTCGCTCGGAGGTCCCGATCAGGCGGAGGTCAATGCGCTCTTTTTAACTGTAATATTTTCTGAGATGCAAGCCTGTTTCATCCGTAAAGGGCCCTAGAGATGAAATTGTGTTGTACTGAGAGTCTAACCTGACTCGGGGAAAAAAAAAAAGCTGTGTTTACCGTAAGTGGGGGTTAGGAATGACTCTCGGCTCTGATTGTGCCCCAACGTAAACACTCGGAAAAAACGAAAATGCCTGAAATTTATATTCAGCAGTTAGAAATTCTAGACATCACTCTTTTATCTAGCCGTAATCACAGCAGCTAGTTTGGCTCCAACGTGGACAGTTTTACAGGAATATATCTCCTCAATAGAATAAAAAAAATCATGCATGGGGCCTACATTTGTTGTAAAAAAGCTAATTTTCTCATGTGAATCTGGTATCTAGTCATGCTCATACATGTGTTTCTGAGATCCAGATGTAATGTTTAGCATTTTAGAATGCTAAAAGGTGCTTATTTATGCTAACTCAAAGCACAGTATTTGGCCATAAATGAAAGGATAGAGAAAATGGCAAATGACACAAATGTGAACCTCATTCTTACATAAAGAAAAAGTTGGTAGATCACCAAAGATGTAAGAGTCTGGAAACCATAGCTGTCTGTGCAAAAGGTTTATACTAATCCTAAGATATTTCACTAAAGAAGTCCAACTTGTTGGTGGTGCTACGGCTTCATCTTCTGCTCCTAACTTTATTGCAGTCCGTAAAATAAACCAGCAACAGATCAACGCTGCCATCCACCAATCCACCAATAAAGCAGCTGAAAATCAATAAACACATATTTCATTCTGACAACAGCATTTTTAATTCCACTTTTTTTACACTAAAGAAGTACAACAGCTGACATTCACCTCAGCTTTGAGATCCCAATCTGGGCATCAGGACGTCTCAGAGGGTCACAAATGATTCATGAAGTAAGGAGCAAAATTCTGCTACCAGAAAATAAAAAGAAAAACTAAATCTGGAACAAAGGGATTGAAGAGGTTGTAACTTCAGAGATGGTCTTTAATTTCTGTTTTATTCGATTTCTGATCAGAAACTTAAGTTTCAGAAAAACTAAGTGATGATTCAGGTAAAGGTTTGCAAACGTTTCGGCTTCAGTATGTGTTCTCGTATGATAAATATGAAACTGTTTGAAGTCACTTTGTAAGCAAAAGTTGTACTTTATGAACCGTAAAGTCCGTCACTGCTTTAGGTAATGTGACAATTTCTGATATTAAAAGAAAGCTACCATAGATTAAACTAGACATGAACTAATTACAGGAGCTTTGTGTGTCTGTCTTATTGTAAATAAACTGTCACTGTTGTGTTTCTCTTTATTGCAGCTACAATTACCAGAGATCTGTCAGCGCTTTATTCGGTATTTTAAAGGTCATATCGGTTTTCCCACAGCAGGATAACAAGGAAACAAGCTGCCATGCAACATTACAGCAGCTGTTAAACTCTAATTCCTGTCGTGAGCAGTAAATACTTAGCACAGCGTCATGAAGAAATCAAAGGAACATGAGATTGCGAGTAATGCTCAACATAACTGAATTACACCAGCAAAAAAGCGAAGCGTAGATACTCCCTGGAGAACTTTTTCAAGCAGCCATATTTATATAAAACTGATGTATGAGGGGGTTAAGAGTGCTCATGAGAACGACGCAGCGATATAACACAGGGAGGAATCTTTGAATGCATTTTACGGCGGGATAAAGTGTAATTGTGGTGGAAAAATACGACTACAAGCTACGTTTTGCAGGCTTTTATACGGCGACTACAATGCGATGATGAAAGGAGACGGGCCGTCCCTCTAATGCCCACCAACCTCCATTCTGCCACCGCTACTTTACCCGACGACAATAAAGCTTTCAGCGTGAAAGCAGCAGGACTCATAAGGGATTAAATGTTTTTCCACCTCTTGCAGATGTTCAAAATTAAGTATCATCAAGACCCTATTAAATGTTCTATTAAACGTTTCGGGGGTTTTTTTAAATACACTTCAGTGTCCGGGAGAGAAAAGAAAGAGTCGCACAATTGTGTAAAAAATAAAATAAAATAAATGGGCACATGGGCAACAACAGGCAGGGGGCTGCAGAAATTAGCCAGTTTTGAAACAACCCTCAAAAGCAGCACACTTGTAAAAACCTACAGGACAACAAAAGAAATACAGGAGTGAATGAAATGAAGCTTCCTTGCCAATTACTGTTGCGAACGTGGCCACGGTGGGGCTTTTTGTGCTTCACACAAGCAGTCTTTTCTCCCCCTTGTCCGCGGCTATTGAGAGGGATACATTAGCCAGGCGGGATGGATGTTGTGGAGAGGAGCAGTGCAGAGAGTTCGCAGTCATACAGCTCACTTCACGCCTGGTGTTACAGACCTCTCTTATGATTTCACTCGCAGCGCTCGCACAGAATGTGATTTTTACCATGTCATTTTCTGCCTCCTCTCCAAGACTCGCCACGAAAAAAAATCCGGACGAGGAAAATGTCTGTTAGTTTTTCCTCCTGTTTGGATAAAAACACGGTGATGAGATTTGTGTGTGGCTAATTTCTCATTGTGCACATCTTAAAATCCATATTCTGGACAATTTACTTGAGTTAGTTGTCTTGTTGGAACCTATTTCCAAGAATGTTCTTGCTTCAAGACACCTTTTCCTTAAACATCCTTCAACCAAATGTGGTTTTCTGGAAGAATGAGGTTAAAATCAGCCAAACTTGATTGAAATGTTCCAGCTTTAAGACCTTTATGTTGTCCATTGACTATATTTATGTTGGTAGTCAGACCCTGCTTCATTAGAAATGACAATTAAAGTTCTTTATTAACAATAAGAACCCAACAAACAAACCAAACACGTCCACATTTAACCTGGACATGTTTTGACCTACAAATCCTCGCTGCACTGCGACACTGATATTATGTTTTATTGCGTTTTTGTGTCACCCACGTGCCTCCGAAGCACCTCATTGAATCCTCGGCTCTTTACTTTTTAGCACAATCAGCGGGCCGCGCAGGGTGGCGGTGATGTGTGGGTAAACGCTGGGTTAATGCCGCGGATAACCGCATCCATCACGCGGTTTCATTAGCGCCGTCCTCTGACCTGTTCCACATGATGTTGTGAAAATGTGTCAGGTGCCAGATTTGTGTTTTTTTTGGGGGGGAGGCATGGCGATCAATACATAAATAAGAGAGATGCTGCTGGCGTGGCTGCAGAATAAAACCTCACATCCAGCAATCTGCCGCCTGTCACAAATCTGAAATACAAATGGACTCGCCCGGGGCAGGAGCCATCAATAATAATATAATGTGCGGACAATGATGAATTAGAAGCAGACTTCTCAATGCGCTGCTGCTTTACGTACAAAAACAATATTGGACGGATGAATTGATCCCTGCGTTCACATTAGTTTGTTTAATCTGTGTTTGAGTCGATGGGACGACATCATGTTTCACTTCACCGAATTCAGAAGAGTTAATAACGTCCAATAATCAAACGGCTGTTTATGAAAGTACCTCCTCTTTGTGGCATTGATTTGGCTCCGTAATGCACTGATCACTCAGACAGAATGCACTTAGGAAATGACAAATGTACTTTATATTCAATATCATGGATTTTTCCCTGCTTAGCCACAGGTTGGAGGTTACGCACTTGGGCAAAAGCTGGCATATTTATACATCCATAGCAATTATAGACATTAACTCTGAGCAAGGAAGCATGGCCAATATGGTGGGTTTATCCAAAAAAATAGCAGCAATACTTTTCTCTGAGCTCCATTCTGGGATGTTGGAGGTGCATGTGTTGCCTGGCAATTAATTTATTTGTCTGAATATCTACTTTTAAATCTGATTTGTTCAATAAATCCTTGAATAACAACTCTCTGTTAGCTGTATGACATTTTAATGTCATTTGAGATGTCATTTTACACCCATAGTTTGTAAAGATGCCCCCCTAACTCTCTGAAAGCCCCACAGTCCGCATTGCAGCCTACATATTTGCTATAGTCCTCAAACAATATCCACAG